GGGCTGTTTGAAAACTATTTCATTATCTTTATCATCATCATTCAGTTTGGCCACTTCAGATTTTCGTTTCTCCAAAAATGTTGGTGTACACACTGGTGTGGGACCCCGGCTATCCACAGCCTTCTCGGGAGTCTCGGCGGCGACTGAAGCGGCCTTCTTCTTCTTACGCAAAGCCTGGTACTTTCTGGAGTTTCGAGGACCAGTGTTTGAAGCATTTTCCTCAGTTTTATGTAACACCTTAACAAATGAAGGGAAATCATAATCAATCCCCTTTTTAGCCAATCTCTTTCTGAGTAATTTTTCCTTCTTTTTAAACCGCTCCTCCATCCGTAGCTTTTGAACAAGTGACCGATTCTGATTGTACCGTTTCACTGCTGGATATGATGGCCTTTTAAATGGCATATGCCACTCTCTAAAAAGTTCTTCATGTACCTTTTCAGGTGGTATAAAATGACACTTCAAGAGTCTTTCACCAAAAAGGTAGTTGTTCATTGTTTCAGCAGCTATTTTGGCAACATCTTCAGATTCAAACTCCACAAAGCCGTAGCCTTTGCTATTTCCAGTCTTTATACTCCTGGACAGTCTCAATCTTGTAACAGTGCCAAATTGGGAAAAATACGCTCGGATCTGGGTTTCATAAAGGGATGGTGGTAAGTGGCCCACATAGATTACTCCAGGAGTAAGTTTTCATTTCTCCTGTTGCTTGGTCGCACGCCGACGAACCTGCGCCACCTCCTTTTTAAATTTGGCATCCTCCTGCGGGTTTAGGGACAGGAGCGGCTTTGCCGGGCCATTGAACGCCGCCATCCCGCCGCTCGTACGCTGACGAGACCCATGCGGTACACCCCAGGATTCTCTTAATAGGAATCCTCTCTGAATTATTGCCTTATTGCTGATAACACATTTTTTGAATTAAGGCAACCGCGTTCCTGGTTTCTGGTTATTATCTTTGCATCAGACTAGGATTACCTCTTGTCGATTTAAATTTACCACTTGCCCATGATTGCCTTGGCTTAGACTGAGTGCTCTTGCATTGTTTTTCATATAAGTCATGATTTGCAGAGCTTTGGCAAATGTGCAGTGTCCTACTGTTGCAGCAGCAGTGGGGGAGAAGGCAGGATCTCCTGTTTTACCCCACCAGAAGGTGGCCACGGCAGATCCTCTTGCTCTGGACGTGGCTGTTGGTCACACTTCACAGATGGGTATTTTATTTTCATGTCTGTACTCAGCGAGCTCATGACTCTACCAAGCACTCTGCCTCTTACTCCTGGTCTTCCTGGAGACCAGGCACTAGACTAAAGCAGTAATACGGTTATCTGGGGGCCACAGGGAGAATACAGAGATAGACTACTTTCCTAGCCCAAATACCAACACAAACTTTTTTTAAAAATTGATTTTTGCTGGAGTATGTGTGTTTACTCACTCAGTCGTGTCCAACTCTTTGTGACCCTTTGGATTATAGCCCACCGGGCTACCCTTTCTATGGAATTGTTCAGGCAAGAATACTGGAGTGGGTTGCTATTTCCTCCTCCAGGGTATCTTCTTGACCCAGGGATTAAACCTGTGTCTCATCTCCTTTGTCTCCTGCATAGCAGGTGGATTCTTTACCTGCTGAGCCATCAGAGTTGATTTAAGATATTGTGTTAGTTTCTGCTGTACGGAAGAGTGAATTGGTTATGCATGAACATACGCTGACTCTTTTTTAGATTCTTTTCCCATATAGGTCATTACAGAGTATTGAGTAGAGTTGCCTATTCTATGCAGTAGGCCCTTATTAGTTATCTATTTTATATATGTAAGTGTAAATGACAGTGTTAGTTGCTCAGTCACGTCCAACTCTTTGCGACCCCATGGGATGGTAGCCCATCAGGCTCCTCTGTCCATGGAATTCTCCAGGCGAGAATACTGGAATGGGTTGCTATTCCCTTCTCCAGGGGATCTTCCCGACCCAGGGATCGAACCCAGATCTTCTGCATTGCAGGCAGATTCTTTACTGTCTGAGCCACCGGGGATGCCCCTTTTATACATGGTGGTGCATATATGTCAATTCTGATCTCCCAGTTTAGTCCCACTCCCCATCCCCCTTGGTCCAACACAAGTTTTTATAAGCGAACAGCACACATGATTCTATTACTATCCCCCTGTTACGTAACTCCAACTCAGTGTTTCCACACTCAAAGCACCCAGCCACAAACAAGGGTGATTCTGAGCATGAGCTGAAGACAGATGAAGCCCTGCTGTAGGTCACCCAGGCTCTAGAAGGGGCCAGCAAGAGATCAAAGTGCACCCTTGTCACCAGCTGCCTGCCTGTGAGCAAGTGGTTCTTTGGAATAGCTCTGCCACAAATATGAGCAACCGTTAGTCTAAATTTGGGGCTGGCAGAGATAAGAGGCCAGGCAGATGGCCTGGATGAGAGCCTTTCCAGGGCCTCAGTAAGAATCTGCAACCGACAATTGTCAAGAGGGTGTAATGGACTGGAAATATGGGCATGTCTTGTTACCAAAGGCATCCCCAAATCCCTTTAGAAGAGGAGGTATGGGTTGCAGTCTACAGGTTTGGTTGTTTACCTGAGTGAGTATTCCTCCCCATAAGACCCCTAAACAGAGATGAAATAAGGGAATAGCATGGAATATTGCACACTTACCATCACAGGTTTCTTCTGTTAGAAGAATTTTTCTGATCTTCTTTCTTTCCTTACCTCTTGGGCAGCATGAAGAGAAATCACAGGTTACGTGGAGGCTGAAGACCTGTGTTCAAATTTAGGTTCTTCTATTAACTGAAGGATGCTGGGACAAATCACTTAACTGAAGAGTTTGTGAAAATAGGGATATAGCAATATTTACCTCGGAGGTGCTGAAAAAAAGGATCTTAGTTAAATAGTGCCTGTTTTCTGAATCAATGGATTATTTTTCTCATGAAAGAAGAAAAAAAATCATATCTTGAAATTGATATGCTGATGGTCTCATCAGACAAGTAACCTCTATGGAGGGCTCCAGAAAATCCCTGGTAGCTTGGCATTATGACCTAGGTACTTCCTTCCTCACTTTGTGATGAATCATGATCAAGTGTGCATGTGCGTGTGTGTGTGTGTATGAAAGAGAGAGAGATTGTGACAGTTAAAGGACAATTTGGCTGGGCTGTGCTGCCCAGATATGTTGTCAAACATATGTGCTTCTGTGAGATTGTTTTGAGATGGGGACAGGGAGGCCTGGTGTGCTGCGGTTCATGGGGTCGCAAAGAGTCAGACAGGACTGAGCGACTGAACTGAACTGAACTAAAATTTAAATTAGTGGGCTTGAATAAAGGAGATTGATCTCCCTAGTGTGGTCAGCCTTACCCAATCAGTTGGAGGCCTGAATAAAACAAGACTGATTTCCCTGGGTCAAGCATGAATTCTGTCAGTCAATGGCCTTTGGATTTGAACTGCAACATTCGCTCTTCCTGATTCTCCAGCCTGCTGATCCACCTTGCAGATTTTGGATTTGCCAGAGCCATAATTGCATGAGCCATTTTTTTTTAAAAGAAATCTTTCTGTTGGTTCTACTTCCTTGAAGAACCCTGACTGATTCTGGAGAGACAAGAAGGGTATCAGCATTCTCTGCTGGCTTATAGCATCTGAGGAACTTCACTTGACAAACCTGCTCGTAGTGCTTTTTTTCACAGTGATTCTGCATTTTTGAAATACTGTAGTGTTTTTGTCTTGTGCCTGCTTTTCATTATTTTCTTATTTAGGATAAGTTAAAAACATAAAACCGGGAATACAATGGTCATTACTAGACTGTACTATGTTCAAAGGAATCTTAACTCAAACTAAGACCAAAGACACACACCCACTCCTCTTCTGAAGACAAAATAAAAGACAATACAGGACAGTTTCCATCACCATAGTTCTAAGGACCTGCAAAGCAAGGATCATTTTAATAATTATAATAGTAATAACAATAGCTGACTCTTAGAAAGAAAATGAAAGTGAAAGTTGCTTAGTCCATTCCAACTCTGTGACCCCAAGGACTATATGGTCCATGGAATTCTCCAGGCCAGAACACTGGAGTGGGTAGCTGTTCCCTCTCCAGGGGATCTTCCCAACCCAGGGATTGAACCCAGGTCTCCCGCATTGCAGGCGGATACCAGCTGAGCCACAAGGGAAGCCCGACACAGAAGCCCTTACCAATTATTGGGCATATTCAAGAATTTACATATATTATTTCCTTAAACATGATAATAGTTGTGGGAGGCCTTCCCAAATGTACTGGAGAACCACTGCAGGCCCCTAAATTTTAGTGCTTAATTTCTCCCTACAAATGATACATTTCTTTGAATTTTACTTTTTTATTTTTAAGTTTTGACTGTGCTGGGACTTTGTTGCTGTGTGTGGGCTTTCTCTAGTGGCAGTGAGTGAGGGCTGCCCCAGTTGTGTGTGGACCTCTCATTTAGGTGGCTGCTCTTGTTGCCAAGCACAGGCTCCAGGACACTCGGGCTTCAGTAGTTGTGGCGCGTGGGCTTAGTTGCCTTGAGATGTGTAGGATCTTTCTGGACCAGGGATTGAACCTGTGTCTCTTACATTGGCAGGCGAATTCCTAACCACTGCACCACCAGGGAAGTCCTAAATGATACATTTTGAAAGGACAATTTCTTGGTTGTTTTCTACCAGATTTGTTCCAGTTCAGTTTTATCTGTCTTCCACTCTTCATGTGGTAGAATAACTATATATGGTGGAGGTTGTGTTTATCGTTATCCAGCAGCAGAAAAGCCAGTATGGTCAGAGGACATGTTTATCCTGGGTAATCAAGTATTCTGGTTACATAGATTTCACATAACCATATGCGGCTGAACAGTTGTCAGATAAATTTAATTCAATAAGATACATTTAATGCTCTGCCTCTGGAATGTAATAGCATTTTGTGGGTCATAAACCTCTTGAGGATATCTCGCTGTCTCTGGGTCATCTTCACAGTCATCAGTTCTCACTGTATGTATCACTACTTTCTGTTTTTTAAAAAAGTGGAGTATAGTTGCTCACAATATTGTGTTAGTTTGCTGTACAGTGAAATGGATCAGCCATATGTATACACGTACCCCTTCCCTGTTAGACCCCTGTCCCAGCCTGTCCGCATCCCCACCATTGAGGTCACCACAGAACGCTGGGCTCCGTGTGTTATACGGCAGCTTCCCACAGGCTGTCTGTTTTCACACACGGCAGTGCACTACTTGCTAATCAATAGGACGCTAAATAAATGAGCCTTTAGTGCATTACTTGCCGCGAGGGACGAGGGGCTGCTTGGGTCTATAAAATATTATTTGTGGTCAATTTATTTAAAAGTGATGGAAGGTGGTGGGAAAAAGGAGCTGTGAAATATACTTTCTCCTTCCTCACTGCCCACCAGCCCCTGCCGGGTTTTCTGGATGTTTTTGTCCTGGATTTGCTGCCCAGAGAAGCAACAGAGATATCAGTTGTCTCTGAAGTCATTCACCTTTGGTAACAGGTCTTCATCCTTTCCCTGATGGTGCTGTTGGCCTTATTTCAGTGGGCAGGATTTTCACCCAGGAAATGCTCTGGGCTTTGGTGCCCACAAAATGCCACCTGCGGCCTGCCAAACCCAGACTGTGGGGGAAGGCTTTTGAAGGCAGAATTCTGTAAGTTAGAGGACAAATGAAGTCACTTGCTGGCTGTGTGACCCTGAGAGAATAACTCAACCTCTCTGAACCTCCTTTTTCTTACCTGTAAAATTGTGGTGGTAATGCCTGTGCCATGGGAGAGGGGAGACTGGAATGATTCAAGGAGGAAATGTATATAAAATGCTTAGTACATGGTCTGGAATGATAATTCAT